CTGGGCGCGAACACCCCCCCTTCCAGTCTGGGCGCGAACAACCCCCCCCTTCCAGTCTGGGCGCGAAACACCCCCCCCTTCCAGTCTGGGCGCGAACACCCCCCCTTCCAGTCTGGGCGCGAACACCCCCCCCCCTTCCAGTCTGGGCGCGAACACCCCCCCCTTCCAGTCTGGGCGCGAACACCCCCCCCTTCCAGTCTGGGCGCGAACACCCCCCCCTTCCAGTCTGGGCGCGAACACTCCCCCCCCCCTTCCAGTCTGGGCGCGAACACCCCCCCCTTCCAGTCTGGGCGCGAACACCCCCCCCTTCCAGTCTGGGCGCGAACACCCCCCCCTTCCAGTCTGGGCGCGAACACCCCCCCCTTCCAGTCTGGGCGCGAACACCCCCCCCTTCCAGTCTGGGCGCGAACACCCCCCCCTTCCAGTCTGGGCGCGAACACCCCCCCCTTCCAGTCTGGGCGCGAACACCCCCCCCTTCCAGTCTGGGCACGAACACCCCCCCTTCCAGTCCAGGCCAATTTTCAGCTTTCAGCGATATCACACTTTGACAATTGCGCGCGGTCATGCAACACTGTACCCATATGAATTTTTTAGCATTTTTTTTGAGACCGATAAAACTTTATTTTGGTGGTATTTATTTACCACTGGGATTGTTATTTTTTTTGCTATATAAATGAAAAAATCCAAACATTTTGAAAAAAAAGTGTTTTTCTTGTACAATTTTGCAAATAAATATTCTTCCTTCATAAATCTTGGCCAAAATTTATTCATCTATCTTTTTAGTAAAAAAAAAAAATAACCTAAATTAGTTTATAACCAAAAATTATAATTTTTCAACTTTTTTTTTTTTTTTTTTCCTGTAAGTGGGACAGGACAGTTCTATAAGCCCTGAAGAATTGGAAAGTCTATCTCCTGATAACGTTGGCTGTATCTGATGTCTATGGTCCGTATATAAATGAGACTTAACCCCTACCTGCCACCACCTCCCCGCCCTTTATCAGGACCTATATGTCGGGAGGTGGAGGCCAGCATTCCGATCATGTGACCCATGTGAATGGCAGTCACATGATCAGAAAGCTTTCAATCACTAGTATGCATCAGGAGCTTCCCGGTACCGGCCTGTTACTGTGCTGGGAGAGCGCACAGCACAGGGTCTGCTTAGGGACGCATGTATGTACCAGGTTGGCGGGAAGACGGTGAAGTGAAACGAACATTACCAACCACCTAATATTTGACACTGTTATTTTCTTTCTCCTTTCTTTCTCTCTCCCTCTCTTCTCTCTCTCTCCCTCTCTTCTCTCTTTCTCTCTCTTCCTCTCTCTCCCCCTTTCTTTCTTTCTCGCGCTCTCCCTTTCTCTCTCGCTCTCTCTTTATCTCTCTTTCTTTCTCGCGCTCTCTCTCTGGCGCGCTCTCCCTCTCTTTCTGGTGCGCTCTCTCTTTCTGGCGCGCTCTCTCTTTCTGGCGCGCTCTCTCTTTCTGGCGCGCGCGCTCTCTCTCTCTCGCGCGCGCCTCTTTCTGGCGCGCGCTCTCTCTCGCGCGCGCTCTCTCTCTCTTTCTCGCGCGCGCGCTCTCTCTCCGCCCGCGCGCTCTCTCTCCCCCCGCGCTCTCTCTCCCCCGCGCGCGCTCTCTCTCCCCCCCCGCGCGCTCTCTCTCCCCCGCGCTCTCTCCCCCCCCCTCCCTCCCCCCCGCGCTCTCTCTCCCCCGCGCTCTCTCTCCCCCGCGCCTCTCTCCCCCACCGCTCTCTCTCCCCCCCGCGCTCTCTCTCCCCCCCCCGCTCTCTCCCCCCCGCGCTCTCTCTCCCCCGCGCTCTTTCTCTCCCCCCTCTCTCTTCCCCCCCCCCTCTCCTCTCTCCCCTCTCTCCCCCTCTCTCTCTCCCCTCTCTCTCTCTCCCCTCTCTCTCTCCCCTCTCTCCTCCCCCTCCTCTCCCCCCCTCTCTCTCCCCCCCCCTCTCTCTCCTCTCTCTCCCCTCTCTCTCCCCCCTCTCTCTCCCCCCCTCTCTCTCCTCGCCTCTCTCTCTCTCTCCTCGCTCTCTCTCTCTCTCCTCGCTCTCTCTTCTCTTCCTCGCTCTCTCTCTCTCTCTTCCTCGCTCTCTCTCTCTCTTCCTCGCTCTCTCTCTCTCTCCCCTCTCTCTCTCTCTCTCTTTCCTCGCTCTCTCTCTCTCTTCCTCGCTCTCTCTCTCTCTTCCTCGCTCTCTCTCTCTCTCTTCCTCGCTCTCTCTCTCTCTCTTCCTCGCTCTCTCTCTCTCTTCCTCGCTCTCTCTCTCTCTCTCTCTTCCTCGCTCTCTCTCTCTCTCTCTCTTCCTCTCTCTCTCTCTTCCTCGCTCTCTCTCTTCCTCGCTCTCTCTCTTCCTCGCTCTCTCTCTCCCCCCTCGCTTCCTCTCTCTCTCTCTTCCTCGCTCTCTCTCTTCCTCGCTCTTCTCTCTCTCTCTCTCTTCCTCGCTCTCTCTCTCTCCTCGCTCTCTCTCTCTCTTCCTCGCTCTCTCTCTCTTCCTCTCTCTCTCTCTCTCTTCCTCGCTCTCTCTCTCTCTTCCTCCTCTCTCTCTCTCTCTCTCTTCCTCGCTCTCTCTCTCTCTCTTCCTCGCTCTCTCTCTCTCTCTCTCTTCCTCGCTCTCTCTCTCTCTCTCCCCCTCGCTCTCTCTCTCTTCCTCGCTTCCTCTCTCTCTTCCTCGCTCTCTCTCTCTTCCTCGCTCTCTCTCTCTTCCTCGCTCTCTCTCTCTTCCTCGCTCTCTCTCTCTTCCTCGCTCTCTCTCTCTTCCTCGCTCTCTCTCTCTCCTTCCTCGCTCTCTCTCTCTCTTGCTCTCTCTCCCTCTCTCTTGCTCTCTCTCTCTCTCTCTCTTCCTCGCTCTCTCTCTCTCTCTCTTCCTCGCTCTCTCTCTCTCTCTTTCCTCGCTCTCTCTCTCTTCCCTCCCCTCTCTCTCTCTCTCTCTTCCTCGCTCTCTCTCTCTCTCTCTTCCTCGCTCTCTCTCTCTCTCTCTCTTCCTCGCTCTCTCTCTCTCTCTCTTCCTCGCTCTCTCTCTCTCTCTCTCTTCCTCTCTTCCTCGCTCTCCCTCTCTTCCTCTCTTCCTCGCGCTCTCTCTCTCTCTTCCTCGCGCTCTCTCTCTCTCTTTCTCGCGCTCTCTCTCTCTCTTTTCTCGCCCTCTCTCTCTCTCTTCTCTCGCCCCCTCTCTCCTCTCTCTCTCCCTCTCTCTCGCCCTCTCTCTCTCTCTCTTCCTCGCGCTCTCTCTCTCTTCCTCGCGCGCTCTCTCTCTCTCTCTCTTCCTCGCTCTCTCTCTCTCTCTCTCTCTTCCTCGCTCTCCTCTCTCTTCCTCGCTCTCTCTCTCTCTCTCTTCCTCGCTCTCTCTCTCTCTCTCTTCCTCGCTCTCTCTCTCTCTCTCTTCCTCGCTCTCTCTCTCTCTCTTCCTCGCTCTCTCTCTCTCTCTTCCTCGCTCTCTCCCCTCCCCCCCCCCCCCCGCGTTCTCGCCCTCCCCCGCGTTCTCGCTCCCCCGCGTTCTCGCTTCCCCGCGTTCTCGCTTCCCCGCGTTCTCGCTTCCCCGCGCTCTCCGCTTCCCCGCGCTCTCTCGCTCCCCCCGCGCTCTCTCTCTCGCTTCCCCCCGCTCTCTCTCTCCCCCGCTTCCTCGCGCTCTCTCTCTCGCTTCCTCCCCCCCCCCTTTCTCTCGCTTCCCCCCCCTCTCCTCTCCCCCCCCCCCCCCTCTCTCTCGCTTCCCCCCCCCTCTCTCTCGCTTCCCCCCCCCTCTCTCTCGCTTCCTCCCCCCCCTCTCTCTCGCTTCCTCCCCCCTCTCTCTCGCTTCCTCCCCCCTCTCTCTCGCTTCCTCCCCCCTCTCCCTCGCTTCCTCGCCCCCCTCTCTCTCTCGCTTCCTCGCCCCCTCTCTCTCGCTTCCTCCCCCCCTCTCTCTCGCTTCCTCCCCCCTCTCTCTCGCTTCCTCCCCCCCCTCCTCTCGCTTCCTCCCCCCCCCTCTCTCTCGCTTTCTCCCCCCCCCTCTCTCTCGCTTCCCCCCCTCTCTCTCGCTTCCTCCCCCCCCTCTCTCTCCCCCTCGCTCTCTATCTCTCCCCCTCGCTCTCTATCTCTCCCCCTCGCTCTATCCTCTCTCCCCCCTCCCCCCTCGCTCTCTCTCCTCTCCCCTCCCCTCTCTCTCCTCTCCCTCCGCTCTCTCTCCTCTCCCCTCCCCTCTCTCTCCTCTCCCCCTCCCCTCTCTCTCCTCTCCCCCTCCCCTCTCTCTCCTCTCCCCTCCCCCTCTCTCTCCTCTCCCCCCCTCTCTCTCCCCCCTCCCCCTCTCCCCCCCCCTCCCCCCTCTCTCCCCCATCCCCCCCTCTCTCTCCCCCCCTCCCCCTCTCTCCTCTCCCCCCCTCTCCCCCCTCTCTCTCTCCTCTTCCGCCCCTCTCCCCCCTCTCTCTCCCTCTTTCTCTCCCCCCCTCTCTCTCTGTCTTTCGCTCTCTTTCTTTCTCTCCTATTTATTTCTCTCTCTCTCTTTCTCTCTCCTCTCTCTCTTTCTCGCGCTTTCTCTTTCTTTCTTTCTTTCTTTCTTTCTTTCTTTCTTTCTCTTTCGTTTTCTTTCTTTCTCTTTCGTTTTCTTTCTTTCTCTTTTCGTTTTCTTTCTTTCTTTCTCTTTCGTTTTCTTTCTTTCTCTTTCGTTTTCTTTCTTTCTTTCTCTTTCGTTTTCTTTTTCTTTCGCTTTCTCTTGCTTGTCTTTCTTTTTCTTTCTTTCTTTCTTTCTTCCTCCTTCCCTCTTCTCTCTTCTTCCTTTCTTCCTTCTTCTTTTTTTTTTTTTTTTTAACTTTATTTACAACATATGAGACCAACATTCTTCTATGTGATACGATTTTGTTGTGATAGGTTCTCTTTAATGAGACATCAGGGGTCTTTCTACTTGTTTGTATCACAAGTACCTGAAATAATTGTTTTTTTTCTCTGACTTTATACGTTGTATTTTTTTTTTTTTTTTTTGTCTTACATCTTTTCTAAATTGGATTTGACTCTTATTGTACGATTCTCTCCCTCTGCAGGTCAATGTGACCATCCGCACTATGATGAAGAAACTGAACGAGCGCATCGCACAGCTGAGGGATTCCCTGCTGAGATCGGTGTCCACGCGTCAGATGTATCCTTCCCGGAGTTCCGCCATCTTGCTGTGTCTGAAATGGCTGGTGTTGCTCTTTTGAGAAGTGAAATAACTGTCCTTGAGGAAAAAACAGTCCGTTTTGTCCCTAGTCGCCAATCAGGTGTTTGCTTTCATAGGGCTCAGTTCACTAAGCTATATAAAAGTGGCTCCATGCCTGGGATAAAAGAACAATAAATACAAACCTAAAATTTTGAGCTGTGTAGTTTGCCATAATAAATGATTGTCCTAATTGGGGTCAAAAACAATGATCGTTGCGGAAGTGCCTGGAATCTGGCCGCTCCAGGTAAAGTGTGTCAGCCATAAACAAAAAACAAACAAAAAAAAAACCTTTTTCTGTTTTTGGATGGAGTGGTAAAGGATCAGAACCACTGGTTTTTACTGCAATCTGGGGCTCTGTTTTGGGGCGTTACCCTCACTTTCTGTCCTGACGGTGGTCTCACCAGACAGGAAATGAAGGAAAGCCTGTAAGAGGGACACAAGACAAATAAAAATCCCATACCTTTACTAAAAAGAAAAAAAAAAAGGATTCGTATTGCTCTCTGCGTTGCTCTTGGCGGGTTCTCCTCACCCCGTCTGATTAACCTCCCTAGTGGTCTGATTATGTCCATATTTCTGTGCTCAAAGCGGTACATTGTTTTTCCATGGAAATATGTAGTTTTTTATTGTAGGCCTGTAATTTTTAGGAATAACTCACTGAAATCTGTCTGAACAAGAGTCTAGTAAACATCCCGGGGATGATAAAATTTGAAACACGAAATCATAAATTATAATTTAATAAATAATCATAAAAAATAATAATATAATAATAATAATACATTTAATTCAATAATATAATCAAACCAAAAACACTGAAATGTGAAATATAGCGCCAAGTTCGCACATCGCTGAGCTCAGTCGCAGAATCGTTTTCAGTGTCTGATGATGAATTTCCCCCACGAATCATTATCACTCAATTCTGCAAGTGGTTCTGATTTACTATCGCTGTTCTCTAGCCGGTCTAAAACCGCGTCTGACCTAAAGGGACGCTTTTTGGACGCCATGGACGTTTCTCAGTTTCCAGGCAGAAAGAACAGTAAAAATGCAGGCAGGGCGCCGGACAAAGCACTCGGGACAAAATGTATGTGAAATGGTTTGATACAGGAATGTTATACTATGTGATTTTAGTGTATTTAGTGATTGTCACTTTTACAATTTTCAAATTTCCCGCCAGTTCTGTCCCCCGTACGTCCCGACGTCGCAGGGAATGGAACCCAGAAGATAGATGCCGACATCGGCAGGAGGACATTGCCGGGGACACTGCAGGGGGGACATCGCGGGAGCGCAGGACAAGGTAAGTGCAGAAGAGATCCCAGAGCAACACTGCAGTGTATTCCCGAGTGTAGCTCGGGGGGGGTTACCGCTTGTGGTGCTGAAACTTTACCCCGAGCTACACTTGGGAGGTTAAACACCAGCAGGAAGGCCTGCTGGTAAATCTCTCCAACAGAGTAAAAGCCCAACAGAGGTTCTAATCCTTTCCCATTCATTCCAAAACCTCAGAAAAGTTTCGACAGGACATGCACTTTGAACGCCACCCTTCAGTTCAGTCTACAGTTGTACCGGCTCCTCTCCTGGGCTGAAATGGTTTACTCCGATTTCACTGCACACTGTACATTAGAAGCAGCCACAAGTCAGACAGAACCCATCTCTAGGCTGGAGGACGCCCAGCATCATCTAGCTCTCTCTTTCCCAGCCTGATTCTCCCTAGCCCTGCCCCTTTAATGCATTGGATTTCTGTTCTTCCAATCGCGGAGGCTTGGGCGTTACCTAGGGCGGTCTGCATGCAAATACAGCCTACCTAGTAACACCCACTGCTCCAGACTGACATCTACACATCAAGGCATTGTGATATTTGCATAGCTCCTCCCAAGGCCGGGCCACGGCTTGTATCAGGACTGAGTAACCCTCCCTCCCGAATTTTCATATTTGCATAGCTCTTCCTAAGAGCCAATCTACTACTTGCATCAGGGCTGAGGGTTCTGGACAGGAGTACTGAGGCAGGGTGCCGTGATGTTTTCAGGGAGCTATATACAGCACCCTGCCAGGTCCTCCTACAAGCCAAGATCTTCCTGCGTTGCATAGCAAAGCACAGAAACCCAGTGATGATGCTACGATGGTCTAAAATAAGATACGTCATGAAAACAGGTTTGAATTAAAAGAAAATAATGATCATGTTGATGTGGGGGGAGGGAGGAACCACGCAAGGACGGATAACCTGATTAGACTTTAGTTTTAAGCACTTGACCACCTGAAGGTTTTACCCCCTTCATGACTGACCAGGGCATTTTTTGCTATTCAGCACTGCGCTAATTAAACTGGCAATTTCGCGGTCATGCAACCCTGCACCCAAATTAAATTTATATATTTTTTTTCACACAAATAGAGATTTCTTTTGGTGGTATTTGATCACCACTGGGTGTTTTTTTTCTATTTTTTCATTATGTAAATGAAAAAATACAGAAAATGTAGAAAAAGAGAAAACAACGGTTTTCTTAGTTTCTGTTATAAAATTTTGCAAACAAATAATCTTTCTTCATAAATTTAGGCCAAAATGTATTCTGCTACATTTCTTTGGTAAAAAATAACACAAATCAGTGTATATTATTTAGTCTGTAGGAAAGTGATCGAGTCTACAAATTACAGGACATATATTTGAAAATTGATCAGTCCTGATGATCTCATTTCTTAAAATGCCAGTACAGTACAAATACCTCCAAAGGACCCCTTTTTAGAAAGTAGCCAGTCTGAGGTATGTAGTAAGAGGCATGGTGAGTTTTTTATTTTTAAGGTGTAATTTTTTGTTGCAATTTTTTTGTAAAATTAGGAAATTAAATTAAATGCTTTTTTTCACAATTTTTTTGTAAAATTAGGAAATTAAATGCTTTTTTCACAACTTTTTTGTACATACTATCACTAGGGCATTACAGTGTCATCATATGATTGGTTTGGAAGTGATACTGACTTGGCAGTGTGTGGGGAAAAAAACATAAAACATTTTCCTTTTTTTTTTTTTTTTTTTTTTTTTTTTTAAGAGGTGTGGGTTTTATGTTTTTTGTTTTTTTTTGGTTTTCTTTCAGATTTGTTTTTACTTACTGTCAACAAAGTAGTTCAGTGTCACCACAGTGACACTGAACTACTCTGGGGGGTGGTCAGGGAAATGTTTTTTTTTTTTTTTTTGGCACTATTATTGCTTATAACAGTGATGATCACTGTTATAAGCAATAGTTTTAGCTGTCATGAATGGCTTTCATTCATGACAGCTTGTGATCTGTGATTGGCTACAGCTAATCACATGGTACAGGGTGCTGTGAATGGCCCAGGTACCATGTGATAGCTGTGGGCAAATCACAGCATCACAATAGTAAGCGAAAAAGTCATGAATGAAAGCCATTCATGACTGTTTTGTTTACATTGTAATCACCATGACCAGTCATAGAGATCACATGATACCGTGAGAGGCCGGTTACCGAGCGTCGTGATCCGCTGTGTCCGGTGACAGGCCACAGGGTCGTACCGCTACGGGGGTACATGTGCACCGTGATGTACAGCTGCTGCCCGCTCTCAGTAAAAGTACTGTAGGTGGGCGGCAAGTGGTTAAAGCTTGCACCTTGCAACAAATCATGTAAAAACTTAACTTGCATCCTTCATAGCACCCAGCTGGAAGGGGATCGAAGGCAGAACCTCGTTGATGAGCTGCTAACCAAAGAACGGCATCTTCAGTTGTCCCTTTCAAATGAAGGCACAGCGCCCGACGTGGTCAGGTGAGGAGCTTCTCGTTAAGATTTGGTTACGTTCGATCTAAAACTGTATTGTAAAGCCGGCCACACATTTTATTTATTTCAGGTACTTATATAGCGCCATCAATGTACGCAGCGCTTTACATATATATTGTACATTCACATCAGTCCCTAACCTTCAAGGGGCGTACAATCTAAGGTCCCTGACCCTCAAGGGGCGTACAATCTAAGGTCCCTGACCCTCAAGGGGCGTACAATCTAAGGTCCCTGACCCTCAAGGGGCGTACAATCTAAGGTCCCTGACCCTCAAGGGGCGTACAATCTAAGGTCCCTGACCCTCAAGGGGCGTACAATCTAAGGTCCCTGACCCTCAAGGGGCGTCCAATCTAAGGTCCCTAACCCTCAAGGGGCGTACAATCTAAGGTCCCTGACCCTCAAGGGGCGTACAATCTAAGGTCCCTGACCTCAAGGGGCGTACAATCTAAGGTCCCTGACCCTCAAGGGGCGTACAATCTAAGGTCCCTGACCCTCAAGGGGCGTACAATCTAAGGTCCCTAACCCTCAAGGGGCGTACAATCTAAGGTCCCTAACCCTCAAGGGGCGTACAATCTAAGGTCCCTAACCCTCAAGGGGTGTACAATCTAAGGTCCCTAACCCTCAAGGGGCGTCCAATCTAAGGTCCCTGACCCTCAAGGGGCGTACAATCTAAGGTTCCTAACTCACATTCATACATACACATACTAGGGACAATTTAGACAGGAAACAATTCACCCCCAGCATGTCTTTGGAGTGTGCGAGGAGACTGGAGTACCCTGAGGAAACCCACGGAGGCACAGGGAGAACATGCAAACTCCAGGCAGGTGGTGCTGTGGTTGGGATTCGAACCAACGACCCTAGTACTGCCAGGCGGAAGAGTGTTACCTAGAGGGATGCAGACCCTGCCACTTTCCTCATTAAAGCCCTGCAAGTGCAGCAGCTGATTTATAATTATAAACATGGATCCAAATTAAGAGGGTTCAGCAGGGAGCAGCCGAATTTCTCTTCATGTATGGCTACTGGGGTTAAACAGAAGTCAATCTATTGATCTTTGTCTATTCAACTGGCCTGTTGGAGTTTAGCCACACAATAATTTGCATATCTCCTCCCAAGAGCCCGCCCACTGCCTGTACCAGGGCTGAGGACTGTTGAGAGGAGTACTGAGGCAGGGTGCTGTGATGTTTTTAGGGTGCTGGCCCCTCCCACCAGCTATGATTTACCGGCATTGCAA